ATTTGTTAGACGCTTTTGCTAAGTTCTGGAAGTTATTTGGAGCCTAGCAAATACCCATATACGCCAGATCCCATCGAACTGTCTCTTGGGCGTATGACCTGACCCAAGGACATTTGCATTTAACGTTGTACACCTTCCGTTTATGAATCACCTTGTCGGCCTCACTGAGAATCACACATGTGTGTGACAACAGAGACGACGGCGGAACTGGTCCCAGCTATTGCCCGAAGACAAGAAGATAACGGCTGTGGAGAGAACATGTTCCAGTGCCAGCCGGGAGAGTGCAAGTTCTTCTCCTGGGTCTGCGACGGGGAGAAGGTAGGGCTCATGAGAGCATCCAACATCTGTCTGCTTCCTCTTCCTATTCCCTTGATTTTACCACTAACACGCGCCCGGGTGGCCGGTTGGATACACTTCGCTCGGGTGGGGGGAGTGTCAATTTCACCCCCCCCCCCCACTGAGATCTCATGAACTAATGCAGCTAGAGATACCAAATCCACAGGGTGTGTTGACCTGTACGTCAAATCAACTAGGTCAAAGTTTGAGGTTCCTAGGTCGTGACCTTCGGGTCAAATAAGCTCAAACAAAGTTAAACTCCAGGTCGGTCTCCAAAGGCCCCTAAACCTGGATAGCTGCTTAAGCAAAAGGTCACATGCTCATCTAAGTTCAGTGACCTTGTTCGACCTTTTGAAGGTCATGGTGACCAAAATCATACAAGACCGCTTTGAGTTTTGCATTTGGATCCGCGACAAAGATTACGCCAGACAGTATGTTCCTAATAACAAAATGTTGACCGGGGTTATTCTTGGTCAGTGACCTATTATGACCTTTAAAAAGTATATGGAGGGTGTGTAATGCGGTTCCTGTTACCAAAAATTGGAAATGAGCACCAGGAACTACCCCATACAGAAAGCGCTAGAGTAATAAAGCAGGCTAGTTTTGACCTCGTTTTGACCTTCATACATGACCTAAGGTTGATGTAACTTTTTCATTCATTTGTTGTGTTGCCTAAAACTAGTATCTCAGAGATGTATAGCTTCGTCCAACACTCCATTGTTGGATAAGATTGAACAATTCCCTAGAAATTACCATCGCTGATACCATGGTCTGACTTTGACCTGCCATAGGTCAGCGACCATACGAGGTACATCTAAGGTTTTTGATGCTAGACGACCCGCTATTTAATTGTCTACAGCTATGCAACATTTGGGCGGCTACGCCGCGCGTTTGGACATCGTTCCGGAAAAACCTTCGGGGAGGATCAATTTGATCTCCCCCCACCCAGCCCGAGCGCGTGTTAATGCATTTGTGTGAAATTCCTACAGATGTGCATGCATGTAACATAAGCCTTTTAAAGGGAGTGTTCCTACATTTGTATGGGGTTTGAACTGAAAAGGCCATCTTGGAGATCATTTCGATGCAGCTTACAGCACTGCGATTCTTCATACATAATCCCTGTAGTTTCTAGGCTACACGCTCTGCAGATGACAGTGCAGACTGCTTCCGGTGGTGGCTATTTCAAGGTCACTGAGACATACAAGACGCCATAATACCGCCATTCATATCCTGCCATCCCATTAGATGAGCGGCACTCAGTGGCCATGAAAAAGGTCTGCATATTATTGGGTCGTTCATATCTGGCGTTTGTGAGCACGATTTCCAGATATAACATCCGACGGTTGGTCTTAATCAATGTTGTGCAATGTGCGAAGATATAATCAAACAATGACTGCACTTGAGGAGCAGATTAACTAAACAGGAAATTTTGTTGTCTAGAGCAGTGTTCGCCACCTCAAAGTATGCTAATAATTATGAGTAAGCTTGGTTCGTCATATCTGTGTGACGCATGCTTCAACATCTTCAGATGTGGGGCATTTCCTTTAAATATCCAGATCCCAGGAGATACAAAGCGCAAATGCAATTCACTTAGCGATGTGCTAGCGAGCAGTCTTTTAAATGTCAAGACTGGATGCTGTTGCACCTCTGAAGAAAGTAACCATGCGCTATCGCCACCGAACGGATGGCTGTCTGTGAGCTACATTGGGCTCAGTGCAACTTGCTGTTTTTGGCGTCGGGTGTGAAGTCAATTCGCCATTGATCCAGAGGATGATGGCGCTTCTAGTAGAATAGTTTACCTTGCTTGTCGCCCTAACTCATCACATTTTTCATCATTCTGGGCTGAGGATCATGTAATTGTAACCGGGGTTGACGCGGCGTAGGGTCCGTGGAAAGACACCCGACTGGGCGCAAGTGCATGGCGTAGATGTAGCGACGGTGTCAGTTCCATCTGTCGAATCAAACCATTGAGGCAAAGTTTATGCCTCAGCACGTTGCTAGCCTGGGAAAAATAACTAGCCTATCATTGCACACAGCGAATGAGATGGAGCATCAAAGTGAACAGCGGAGTTTATTTCATAACACTGGCTGCGGCATGTTGACTGGCATATCGACCACAGCAAAATAACTTAATGTCATTGACTTGGACCAAACCATTGACTGGCTTGGTTCCGTCCATGTGCTGACATGTGACGATTGTCTCGGAACAGGTTTGCATCAGTTGTTAACGTGTCTATCACGCCTGCTCCACTTCACTGAAAGATGCGACATGATGCCATCCGGTTGATGAAATCCGCCCGGTTTATCCGCAGGACTGCAGCAACGGGAAAGATGAATCCGACTGTCACAATCACCTACAAGACTACAAGCTCACGCGTGGAGCCAAGCTAGTCGGTAAGGCGACGATAGATCGCATGGAAAACGTACTTAACGCGTGTGCAAAATGTAAACAATGGTCCGCAAAATGCAAAGAAGGGTCGGCAAAATGTAAAGTAGGGTGTGAAGTAGGAGTTGCGTTGATAATGTAGTTAGCTTTACCAGCAACTTTGCCTGCATCCTTTTCGTGCCCAAATAGCATTGAGTTTGCTACGCAAGGACCGTTGTGAGTGCTCAGTTCTGAGTTGGCTTCTTCAGCCAGCTCAGACACTTGATCAAAACTCCGATCCGAGGACACCGTGTTTGAAACGCTTCTCTCCTCAGGTTATGACGTGGAGAAGTGGCTATTCACCGAGCTGAAGACATGTGCCAGACGCTGCTCCGAGACCAAAGACTTCCTTTGCCGGGCCTTCAACTACCTGTGAGCTGATTACTGGGAACATGCGTGGCATACGAGCGCAGGTTTTCAAAGCCCACTTGGCTTTTCAAGGCTCATCGGGACCAATGCTTGTGACGTCATATGTACAACGTCAACAAGTAAAAAAGCACATTCTTTTTCTGGATAAAAAGCGCAAATTTACAGACGTAGTTGAGAACGCAGCCTCTAAATGGCGCTCTCGTGCCGTTCTCAGCCCACTTGTATCGTGTGACCCAATTGCCGGATTACACACATCTGCTGGCTTGCCCCGCCGGTCAGTGGTGGAGGAGGCATCACGTCTGGCGGAGGTATGCTGCGCATGGCGTGGCCTCGCCCGGGAGCCAGACACTGACAAAAGCCAAAAGTTGGATCCCTTTTCCCAAACAAAAGCTGTTTATGTGACTGCCCATAGATTACCCGGTTTCACATCTGGGTTCATGTACCGTGACCTCGACCCCTCCCCTCCGTCCCCCTCAGGCAGTCGGACGAGACGTGCTTCCTGCTGGACTCGAACGTGGCGCTCTCGGGCGCCATCGAGACTGATCCCGAGTTCGAGCTGTATGAGCTGCACTCCGAGATCCCAGACTGCAGCGACAAGTTCATCTGTCCACGTGGCAAGTGTCTTAACGCCAGCCAGGTGCGTCGACAGCCGAAGACTCCTTGACACGGCATGCAAGGGGTTTTCTCTTCGCTTGTGACGCGTCAGCATTAATGATTAACAAACGCGAGCTTATGTTTGATTATGTGCTGCGGGAGTGGAAAGACAAATGAGCACACCAGGCTGCACACTCTCAGTAATTGACAATCATAAATTGTAGCATTATGCGTGCACAAAGTGGCGGTGGGTGTGGCATTCGTGTGACCTGTGTCGGTGACCTCGGTGTCGACCTGTGACCTCAGGTGTGCGACGGTCGTCGGGACTGTGTGGACAGTGCCGATGAGGCGCGCTGTCAGTCCAAAATCGACTTCGACATTCGTCTGGTCGGAGGGAAGAGGCCAAGCGAAGGTCGCGTGGAGGTCAGAGGTGAGAGCTCCAGGAGCGTTGCTGATTGGCGAGCCCTCAGTCCGAAGCCCGAATGCCCCGGCGAGAAAGGCACTCCAGCAGAAGAAGCGGCGACGCTTTACTCTGCGCCGTTGAACCAAATCGGCTCACGCGACAGTGAGCGACCATGCATACGAACGCCTGAGCTTGCAAATAGGTGGACGACCTACATCAAGCGGTGAAACACGCACTCGGAGATGCGTGGAGATCATAACAATTGGTTTAAAACGGTATTCCTTTCTCGACGACGAGACTTATATATCACGTGAGCGGAGATGCCGGCCCTCTGGTTTTGCTGGACCAGTTTTTGCCGGCACGGAGCATAAACTATTTGTTCACAATATCCCACTGTGTGAATGCTTAAGTGCAATGCTTTCTTCAGACAAGCACGCTGTGAGAAGACAAATGTGAAATCCGAGTTAGAACGGTATCAATGGATGGTGGCATTTCAATCGAATCTGAAGGCACAGCATAAAAGTGCGACTGGCTGTTGCCGCGAATTGTCCACGATCGTCATGAAAAATGCGGTGACATTGACCTTGCCTGACCTCTGTCTGCGTCAGCTCTGGGCCAGTGGGGTGTCATCTGCGACGATCTGTTCTCTACTGTGGATGCTGACGTCATCTGTCGATACATGGGCTACCCACTCGGCGCCTCGGAGGTAAGCTCTGCAGCAAAAGAGGCGCGCCCAACGCACGCTCTCACCAACTGTGCGAAGAACGTCCAGTGCGCTAAAATACGCGCTCTTTCGTGAGCCGGTTGCCAACGGGAACGAGCGGCATTTACAACTTGTGTGATACCGTTTCGGCCCATCTGCTTGCATTACATTTTCATGAACTATTCAACGCATCGGCTCATCTGACGTAACAAGAAGACAGGAAGTGTGATATTTGACCAAGCTTTCTACTCAGTTGTGCTTTTAGTCGCATTGCTTTAACCAAATACGACACTAACTACGATTGGTCCTGGCGTTCTAAAGCAGGCTCCCTGGAAGTGACCCTCCACCCAGAGCCGCCCGCGACGCAGCGGACGTTGACCTCTGCCCTGACACGACAGGCGGTGACGAACGCCGGCTTCGGCGCCGGCAACGGCCGGTTCCTGATGGACGACCTGAACTGTCGTGGTGACGAGCAGTCCCTTGCCGACTGCGACTTCGCCGGCTGGGGCAAGACAGACTGCACCGAGGCCGAGGTCAGTGTCGGCCCGATCATGCCCCAGCTCTCTCTGTTCTACATCGTCTTTGTGTGCTCGACCTTAGGAAAGGTTTCAAGTTTTGTTATATAGCGTCAGCGTATTGGAATGCATTTTAAACGTTTATTGTAAAGTTAAAGTGCAGGTAATTAACGTAGACCACGTCACATTGCATTTGTAAAAGCTTTTTTGAAATTCTGAATCAAGTTCAGCTTTGAACAATTTTTGGGCAGCGACAAAATTGTGGCTGTGTTAAAAATGGTAGCCAAATGAATACAATCGACAGTGCAGTAAACTGCACTGTACTAAAGGGCGTAGTACATAACGCATATATTTTTTTCTATAAATTTATTCCGAATGGTTTGCATGGGTGACTGGGTTCATAGTACCTGCTAAGCATAGCTTGTCGCGTGCACCTTAAACCCACCACCCAAGTCGTTTCGCCCAGTTCAACGGATAAATTTGCCCCCGCCCTTGTGCCAGACAGGAATGCAAACTTACAACCAGCTTTTTCGCTGATTCAAGAAGTTTTGGACGTCCTATCACTGTCAATTGATGTCATGGGTTGTGTGTGTCCGCAACATAGAGCATTTCTACACAGCACGCCGACATTGTGGAATGCCGAAGCACTACCAGTTGTCCGTGCCTCCGACAGGTGGCGGGGGTGAAGTGCCGCGAGGCCGGCGAGGTATGCACCAGCGACCAGTGGCGTTGCCGCAACACCAAGTGCATCGCCCTGACGTACGTCTGCGACCAAGTGGACGACTGCGGAGACTTTTCCGACGAGGAGGACGAGCTGTGCAAGGTGGGCCAGCAGCCGCAGGGCCGCGCTAGCCGCCCGGTCCGGACACGGCCGCGGCCTACACGGAGTGCCTCAGCGCAGATCCTCGTGGTGGACCCCGTTTATCCCCTTCTAAAATTGACACACGTTTACGCTTTTTACATATCGGAATCAATTCAATCTATCTGCTTCTGTCGTTTGTCATTTGTACGCAAGAAAAAGCGGCTTAGATCCGAGGAGAAAGCAGAATTTTGGTGGTACATAGGCCAGGTCTGTCTCGGAGCCGGTCCAGTCGTTGAGCTGTCATCCCATCAAAATTCCTTAATGAGGCTCTGATCGAGGCTGTTTCTGAAGGTGACGTCGGTGGGATAAAGGATCATGCTGAGAGCGTGCTTGATTTGCTGGCTTGTATCTAATGTTGCGCCGGTGCGAACTGAGCTGCTATTTTGGTTTGATACCAGCCGCACTCAAGTCGAATGCTTTCGGAATGTTTGAGTCCAACTTGCATCTGAAGCCATTCAGATTTGAGTTTGAGTCCGGGATGAACTCTCCGCACTCCAGTAGAATGCATTGGAATGTTTGAGTCCAACTTCCATCTGGAGCCATTCAGATTTGAATTTGAATTCGGGATGAAATCCGTTATTTATTCAAATTGATGAGCTAGAGTGACTCCAATTTATGTGTAAAAGGAATCGATTTGTCAATGCGAAGCCTTGCGCTTGGAGCCGACTCCAGCCCCGAGGTGCCCGAGCTTATTCGCACTAGATTTCTCCCAGAGCAGATCAATGTGATAACTTCAGTGAATGCATCTCAATCACCAACACCGCAACAGATTGTTCCAGAGCCTGTCTCAGAAGAATCGATAGTTTTGCGGTGCAAGTCTTGCATACAACGCGTTGAACTGTGCTCAAACGCCTACCAAACCCAGCACCCAAAGTCGAGAGAAACCTATCGACGAGGCAGTCTTGTAAGGCTGTGGTGTTGTGCTGCCGACGTGTGCCGGTGTATTGCTGACATGGGTGGGGGCCGTCGGCAGCTGCCGCTGCAGGTGCGCCTGGTGGGCGGCACCAATAGTTCGGGACGGGTGGAGCTTCGCTACAAGGGCGTCTGGGGCACCGCCTGTGATGACGACTTCGACTCAGAGGATGCTCAGGTAATAAGCGTTACATGAGCGTTTGGGTCACCGCCTGTGATGACGACTTCGACTCATAGGATGCTCAGGTAAGAAGCGTTACATGAGCGTCTGGGGCACTGCCTGTGAGGACGACTTCGACTCATAGGACGCACAGGTGAGGACCGAATGGGCGACAATACGCGTTTGGCGCCTGACTAATTCATGACACTGTCGTGTTTTTTATCCGTCGAGGAACAATGTAACGCTTCGATGGTGGGGGCAGGGGCAATATCCACTTTTTGGTTACTTCTTCCAGACAACGCGCATGATGCCAGTGCTAAACGTTTAGAGGGATAGAAAGTGCTGAGGGCTCCCCTCCGAGCCCCATCCTCCTGGTGCCAGCGCCGCTGTCTCTGCTCTGTCATATCTCCGTGTGCCAGGCAGCGTTTGGTTAGTGACGACTCGTCCGCACGTGTCTGACGACTGACCGCCGGTCCCCCGGACGCGCAGGTGCTCTGCAGGATGCTTGGCTTCGAGGGGGCGGCCGTTGTGCACCAGAACGCCAAGTTTGGACCGGGTACCGGCCAGATCTGGCTCGACCAGGTCAACTGCAAGGGAACAGAGAAGAGTGTCGATGAGTGAGTTCTCGTTTAACAGCCGGGGCTAGGCCCGGCGCCGGACAAGGCTTAGTGGGGTGGATCTGATTGACCGACGGGTAGTACACGTGAAACCTCTTCCTTTTTTTTTGCTTGTACATGTCACGTCCTTTCTTACATCAATTCTTCTTGATTGTGTTCACGGATGTGTCAGTATAGCATCGAGAAGCCCGGCAATGGCCGCGGGCACACGAATCTGGCGGCATAAATGAACGTCATGGCGGTCCCATGAAGTGTGCAAAAGATTCATGGATGGACGTTTGCTATTGTAAGAATGTTGTTTCCTGACAGCTTAAGCGACCAGCTGATGCCAGACGCTTTGAATGACCTTTAAATTTAATTCGCTCCGCAAACATGCAAGCTAATCTCAATCACTACATGTATCTCAACGGTGGCCTGCGACTGGTAGGTGCTACCATCTGCCCTGGGGTCAGAGTAACTGCGCTCACGAGGAAGACGTGGGCATCAGCTGCCACGCCAGTCCTACCTCGACCAACAAGGTACTGGCCGGGCGCGGCCGCATGCCAACAGCCCCGGAGCGGGCCCGCAGCGCTGTGTGCAACGGCGCTAGTGCGGACTTATAGCTGGGATGCTCTTCGACCCTTGGTTTTTTGCGCTAGATAGGCATTCACTGATAATGCAATACGGAATAGTGCAAATCGTCCACTTTTAATTGATGCCCAGGCTTTCCCTTGAACAATGTCTGCCCTAGATCAGGATGATTCGTGGATAATGGCGGAACACAATATTGTTGACTGGAAATGCGGTTTGTTTACGAGTTGCTCTGGTGTCTTTTTCCGTGACGACATTGGGTGGACAATGACGTGATGACGGCATGGTAGACAACGACTAAGCATGTCCATACGAGTAAACATCTGTGGTGATCAATGCCGTGCAAAATTTCACATTTTCATGTTGCTAGAACTTTTTATTCTTGCACAAGTCTCCAACAATTTTGTTGTTAGCCGCCTGGCCAAGGGCGGCGCGTTGCGGCAGCGTTACTAACTAGCATTGCTCGGTGTTCCCACAAGGTGGCAAGACCGACTGACCGTCCTGTGCTGAACAATACGCTGCCGGCGTGGTGCGGCCGGCGAGTTGTCCCAGACACACCGATCGTACCTCTGGACCAGAACCCGAAGATCGTCTCCGGGAAGACAACTGAGCCCGGCTCCCACCCGTGGATGGTGAGTCAACACCGCATCATCCAGACGGTGTCAGGGTCAGGGTCAACGCCGCCTGACCCAAGCACGCTACTGTGCAGTTCGGCCGGCGGCCCGGCACCAGCTACCCTACGTCACGGAAGTATGGCTTCCAGAACAGGATAAATAATCAACTGTCCAATGCTTCAGCCACAAGATGTGGCACTTCCCATACTTCGCATATTTTCTTACCCCTCTCGCGTATTGAAAGCAACATGAAGCCCTTCAAGCCCCCAAACTAGCCAGTGAAACCTAACTCCCTAAATCAAGGCACGATCACTAATCCGCGTGAATCGTGTTCAGAATCTAATGTGAATCGTGATCAGAATCTAATGTGAATCGTGCTCAGAATCTAATGTGAATCGTGCTCAGAATCTAACGTGAATCGTGCTCAGTGCACACAGACACCGGACAACGAAGCAGCACATGTCCACGGGTGCCGTTCCCAGCGCCCCTCGCACAGCGCCAGTTGGTCGTGGACAGCATGCTGAAGCACGTAGGACCGCGGGGAAGGGCTTAGTAGTGCGCCAAAACCCAGCATCCGACCGTGACAGGACTCGAACCTGCAGTCTTCTGATCCGAAGTCAGACGCCTTATCCATTAGGCCACACGGTCACGGCGGTTCCGCAGCTCGGCGATGAGAACTCTCAACCAGCGCAGCGGTGGTCGATACCGCTTCGCGCGCGGCAGCAGCCTGTAGCCGCCGTTGTCATGGAAACTGCCCCGTTTGCGTCTCTACGATTCTCTCTCCTCATGACCCACACATTTGCCAGCTGACGCCTGGCGCTGACAGCCAGCCACACGATGGGCGGGTGGGCTGTTCGGAGTCCTTGGATCTCAGTCACGGCGGTGGTTCGGCTTCGGTTCCCCCGCACAGGAAAATCGAAGCCGGCGGGGAATCATGGTGGTACTGTGATGTCGCGCGAGGCCGCGGCACACTCAAGTCGTGCTTGAGATATGAGAACATATTTTTCTTGAGCTGATCGGCTAGGCCTTGGCGATGCCTATTACTTGAATTCGTTGCAACCGCTTCTGACGGATTCGCGCAGTTTTCAGCAACAGGTGTGGTACGTTAAACTTGTGCAGGGTAACTTGTTAGGCGTTTGCATACGGACCATTCGACCTAGCTGTTTCTCCAACAGCGTATTGCCAAAAGGTGGGCCAGCATACACGGACCACACATCAGTAACATGCTTAAACCATGGGTCCGTCCGTTTGGGGTGTTTTAAGAACTGACGTCACATCACAGCTGTCAGATTAGGCGAAGGCATTCAACCAGCTGTGGGGACGAATGCACCGGCTACAACTCGCCGCCAGATCTAAAGCTGTCAGATACAACCGCACCTGATCTGCGGTACTATATTCCCTCATCAAACATCTTAAGGTCCCGAGCACAACGACCCATCCATCCTCATTAGCCAGTTGGGGCGGTCCGTGAGCTAAGTGACGGACGTGAGCTCGTACCCCGCCATCGTGAACGCGTGTGACGCCGCCGTGAGCTCGTGCTGTGCCGACATCAGAGCGTGCGCCGCCGCCGCAGGTGGGGGTGCGGATCAGAGCCGGCGCCGAGACGGCGCACTGGTGCGGCGCCGTGATCGTCTCCGAGTATCACATCATCTCGGCCGCCCACTGCCTGCTCGACTACCCGCAGCAGGTGTACGTGCTCCGCGTCGGAGACTATGACAACCAGGTGAGGTGCTGCGCCAGACTGATGGGAGACTTCGACAACCAGGTGGGGCGCTGCGCCAGACTGCTCAGCCGCTGCGCCAGACTAATGGGAGACTTCGACAACCAGGTGAGGCGCTGCGCCAGACTGATGGGAGACTTCGACAACTAGGTGAGGCGCTGCGCCAAACTGCTCAGCGGCTGCGTGAGACTGACCGGAGACTTCGACAACCAGGTGAGGAGCTGCGCCAGACTGGTCAGAGACTTCGAGAACCAGGTGAGGCGCTGCGCCAGACTGCTCAGCCGCTGCGCCAGACTGATCGGAGACTTCGACAACCAGGTAAGGCGCCGCATGGAACTGACCCGAGACAACCAGGCGAGGCGCTGGACCGATTGGGTGTGAACTGCGCACGGACTAACACAACCAGTTGAGACTGAGGGGCTGTTAGGTTGATGAAAGACGTCACTGATTGGCTGAGTCGCGGCGGGCGGCCTGAACAGGAACCACGACAACCAGTGTGAGAGTATTGGGCGTCGGTCGGAGTAGGGACTGAAGCAGCGCTCTGAAGTGATCCTGTGACGAAGCACGGAGATAGCCAGTGAGTTTTTGCGTGGTTCAATTGTGAACCGACGGCTGCTAGACCAGGTGACGTACGTTAAACCAGGAATTCTACCCAGCACCACGCGAAAGCCCGGTTAGGCCATGGTAGGATCAGCACGACCCAGGGCCGTGCTGGTCCTACCATGCTGCCAGCACAAATGAAGACGGCAGCACAAATGTGAAAGCACAAAAGAAGGCGGGCACAGTAATGTCTGAAGAGCCGAGAAACGGTACGGGGACCGTTCTTATCTATTGGGCTGTAAACATGTATGTTTATAAAGTGGTCATTTATCAAGGTCGCTTTGCTACACCACCTTTCACATTCGGCAGGATGCTGCATTTCTCGGGTCAATGACTTTCTGTTGAGTCTGCTTTGTTCAGGCGTGCAACTTTGTATTTTTCACTGGATGATGAGTGGTTTGGGGTGGCCGTGAATGGACGGATGTTAGCTATGCTTTATGGAGCTACTAATGTCTCATTTTTCGCATCTCAGGTTGAAGATTCGGAGGAGGAAGAGTTTACCATCGAGAGAATGTATCCTCATCCGGAATTCAACAAGGGCACCTACCTGAGCAATGATATTGTCATCATCAGGGTCAAGGTAATGCAAGCGATTATGCGGGGTACACATAAGCTTATAAAGCACTTTGTAAACACTTCGGTGCCGCTTTGAAGAACATTGTGAACACTGTCATGCTTCTTACAGGGATGTCAAATTTTGTCTGTAGGCTGCATTTTGGCTGTAGGCTGCAGCATAAGGTGTCTTTATACGGTTGTGCTCTTGCATCCTGCTGAATTTTCCGCAACATTCTCAAGCTCACAGCTCTGCTGGTTGTTACTGATTTTCATTTTTTCTGGAGTGTCGTAGCGGGCTTGCACCATGCCGGCTGCAGCAGCCCTGCTCGGGTTCTGCGTTCGTGACGCTTAGGCCAGTTGATTCATGCAGAGTGGGTGGCTGTTTGCTTGGCCGTCGTCATGACAATCTTACTTCTGCAATTGGTGTGACATAACTAGCATACGTTTATACTACAGTGAAGGCGGGATCATTGTTGTCAGTGGTGTCATGACATCTGCGCTGGGTCTGCCTCGCGTCACACAACCGTCATGACATCACTGCCCCTGTCACACCCTCTGTGACGTCATTGGTGCCCGTGTGCCGCAGTCAATCCGAGGGCGGGGCATCCGGTTCGGTGCGATGGTGCAGCCCGTCTGCCTGTCTCCGGCAACACTGGCTTACAAGCCGGGGAAGAAGTGCACCATTGCTGGCTGGGGTAGCACCGGTCGACGAGCAGGTCAGGCAGCGACGCAGGGCCGAGGAACCCTGTGGGGAGGTCGCTGGCATTATGACACAATGTGGTCCGGCCGCTTCCCACCGTGCTACTTCCGGTTGTTCCTAGTTTTCTTCACGTTTAAGCTCTTTTTTCTTCCTAGATTATCCCAATTTTCCTAATAGATATTACGTATAGATGTTTTAGCATGTTCTCTATTTCAGCGTTCGATGCAAAGCAAGTTGATAGGGATAATTTTTACTGCTTTCCAAACTTGGAGGGACCGGGAACGGAACCAGCAAAAAGGTCATGTCTTGCTTCGCGCTGATTGGCTGCGTGCGTAGCCCCACGAATGGGCTGACACTGCATGCCAAATTCATAGGAGAGCAGAGACCATTGCTTTGAATCTTGCCGACAATCTCAATGCCCAGTTCACTATTCACGCCACGCAGCACTTAGTGGCGAGCAGAACCTCATTCCAGAGCGGAGCCATGGACCCGGTCAAGCGTGCGTTCCGTTCTGCTGACCGCTCCGCGTCCGTTGCCAGGTTACGCCCGGCGTCTGCAGTCAGTGGTGTTGCCGCTCCTGCCCATCAGTACCTGCACGGCACCATACGTGTATGGAGAGCGCAAAATCACCGATGGCATGTACTGCGCCGGATACCTAGAAGGAGGCATCGATACGTGCCAAGGAGACAGCGGTGGGCCCATGGTGTGTCAGCACGAGGGTGAGTTCACAACGGCCGGCTTATGGTGTGCCAACGGCGGGGTGAGTTTGCGCAGAGAATTTCAGCTCGATGACTTTACCGACACTACGCATTGCTGTTCCCGGATCGTTGAAGCTCTAGTGTATCACAGGTGTTAGGTGGCTGCTGTGCGTCTCGCTCTTGCAGCTGAGAGCTGCGCGTCTCCGGGCCGGTTTGCCTCCTGTGTGGCCACTTGCCAGCTCTGCCTGCCTGGTGACTGGTGCCTTTGTGACTGGTGAATGGTGACTCCTGACTGATGACTGGTGACTGATGACTGATGACTGCTGACTGGCGACTGATGAATGGTGACTGATGACTGATGGCTGATGGCTGATGTCTTGTGACTGGTGACTGGTGACTGGTGGCCGATGATTGGTGACTAGTGACTGGTAACTGATGACTGGTGTCTGGTGCCTCGTGGCTGGTGTCTCATGACTGATGTCTGGTGACTGGTGACTGGTGCCCCGTACCTGGTGGCTAGTGACTGATGCCTCGTGCCTGGTGCCTGGTGCCTGGTGACTGGTGCAGTGTTGTGCCGCGCCCTCTCACCGCGGTTTTCTGCCGCATCCGCAGGCGTGAGCGTGCTGTACGGGGTCACCAGCTGGGGTCAGGGCTGCGCCAGGGCTAACAAGCCGGGCGTCTACACCAAGATCACCGAATACCTCAACTGGATCTACCGCACGATCGAGGAGGATTCGCATCCGTAGAGCGCTACGTCATACTATGTTGCGCGGGCAGAGGAGGCATGGGAGTAATTCTGCTGACGTTTGACAGTTGACTACGTTTTCGTGTTGTGCTCGTGTGATGGCTTACATTGATATGAACTGTGACACACACGCGAGTGTGAATTATGTGCTGCCCAGGGCTGGTTTATCAGCAGAGCCATGGGCGGCATTGACATCCAAGGATGTCGCCTCTGTTCAGTCGCTATTAAGAAGCGGGGAGGAGAGGGGTCAGCCCCCAACTCTGGTAAAAAAGCGGGCAAAATTCGGGGAAGCACCTTTTAAGCCCCCTCCCCCAATTTATTTTGCGGAACTACGCCCCTGTTGGCAGCCTGACCTCAACAGATTAGGCGGAACGACTGGAAGCCCATTCTTTCGATGGACAAATATATTCCTGCGGCTACAACTAAATTGTAATGCGACGAAATACAGCTAGAAACGTCTACAACGTGGAGATTGTATTATTGGGCCAGCCACGTTGACCATGGTCGTGTGTTTCTGCGATGTGCTGCGGTGTTCTAAGCACTAGTCCCGTTGCGCCGGGCTGAGCCGCATGCGGAGGCGGCGCTGAAGTTTTGTCAAGTTATGTTAAGGCGTTAGGAGTTTTTAGACTCGAGCTTATTCAGAGAATGGTTTCAAAACCATCAGTGCTCGTTTCAAACCACGTGAAGAACCTGAAGGTGGTAGAAGTAGGACGTGCGCCACTCATTTTGACATGCTGCGATACGTATGTGTAATCTGCGTAGAAACTTGAAGTGCATACATCCTGAGGGGTAACTTTCGAAGCTAAGTGTCAGGTTAGGATGTGTCACAATATGTAAGTGCGCTATATCTGTTGTCGTCACTTTGGCAACAATAAATGTTGGTCACCACCATACCCACATGGCACGGCATGTTTTCCTCTTCTTTTTCTTCCACTGGCAGCTCAACAGCGACAGAATCTAAGGCGCCAGAGACAGCGGAATGGGCACCACATCTATGTGTTGTAGATAGCTGCAGATGCCCAAATACATTATTGCGCACGTAACGACCCTTCAAACACGTTAACTGCGTCGATCTCCTGTCAACTGCCAATCAAATGCTGTGTTAACTCACACATTTTTCGCCAAGTAAGTGGAAAAACGCATTTGTATAGCGCTTGGCTGTATGCTGAAAGGGATTTGTCAAGAATCACTGGAAATTATCGGAATCGGAATTACATATTCCATTTCCAAAGGCACGCATAAAACATCCAAGCGACGAATAGAGGACTACATGTTACAGCTAGCTATAGCCAGTTAGGTATAGCAGTTACGTATAACCAAATTATGTTTGATCGTCAAGTTATACAAGGTCTAAATAGGTAGCTGACATTTTTTGGGAGCACAAGAGTTCAAGCGGTAAAACACGTGCTGAATAGTAAGATATACCATCTATACTAATGGCAACGGTCGTCCCTATATAAGATGAAGGGTGACTGAGAAGTTTTTTTTTGTTGACTTCCGGTGATTTCGGTCGTGACAGCTTCCAGAACATGGAACTTCCTCCCGTGTGATGATGATGTTATGATGGGGGTATTTCTGGTGAGGTCATCTCGGGTGATGCTCCGGCCGCGTTCTTTTATCATGTCCTCTTTTGGAGCACCGTCATCAGAGTGTATCCTCAGCCGCCTTGATAGCGTGGTGCTGCAGGCCATTAGAGAAAGTGGCGAGATCACAGGAAAAAGAGCCGACAAAACATCCTTGCACGTAATTATCGACAAGTCTGATTAGCATACAAAGATCAACGAAATGTTTTCAGATGAAGCCAAGTCTGAACCTTTCAAGCGAGACCCTGCGTCCAGCTTGAAAACTAAAGTGAGCATACTGATCAACTGCGCCGGTGCTGTTTATTTCCTGAAGATTATCGGAGAATGCCAGCCCAGCTACGCCTAGCTATTTCTGCTATTTCAGCTATGTCTAGCTAATTCTGACAATGTCAGAATTCACAAAACAGAAAATCTGTTGCGCCCGATTATTTCACATTGCTCAACTCCAACTTACCAACCGACCATGCAACTCAACTAAAAAAAGAAAAACTTAGAAAAAAGGAAGAAACTTTCGTGCAAAACTTAAAGCCAATCACTATGCTTGCTCTCGTATCTATTGACAAAGTGAGCAAACGCATGGTTTGCTGTGGCTTTCTCTTGTAACTGAAAAGTGGATAACGCAAATTGACTGACTGATGTGTAATGATCCCTGTCCGTAGGCCAACATGGCCGCCAGTGTCATAACATTCATCACCAGCGGTACTTCGGAAAGTGGAATTCGGCTATAATAAATGTTTTCAAAGATTCCTTGCACGCTTTGTCGTGGGAATATGCAGTCATTTATAAATGCTGGTGGACCTGTCATCACGCGCAAACTTGCGCCTTTACTTGAGCGCAGCGTGCACTTAATAGTCACGTTTCGACACGATTTGCATCATTTAACAGCAGCAAAGCGTGCTCCAGCAGCGCTGCGTCATCAAAGATCGACAAGCGGCATTCATTTAGGCATGAACTAAGTATGAGTAGCTTTGTTTGTAGTTTGAAGTGGCTATATTACACCTCCCAGGGCAATTGCCTCTGTTTTTCTGTTCACTCTGGCGCTATGATAGCATATGATTGTGTGCAACGTGGTAAGAGCGTCATTATTCCTCGTCTATTACGCGTAGGGAAACGGCCTTCGTCATTGTGCAATCAAAACAAGTCTTCAGCATTGGCTATTGAGCAGCCGACGACGGGTGTAAGGGCGAGTGGCTCCAGCACCTGCCGAGACCAGCGCTAGGTCCGACATAACGACGTAGGGTCAGATTTGCGCCGAAATTCACAAGGAACTGGGGCCAGCAAATAAAATCAGGCCATTGTTGACATGACAGCTTGGGAGGTTAATGGCCCTCCAGTCGTCAAAATGTATCCCGAACTGTGGGACGATAGCTTCGCAAGTGGAAAGACTGCTGACATTTATTTTGAAGTCGGTTGGTCTGTTTTCCAAAAAGTAAGGATGAATCGAATAGATGGAAATGTGAGCAGAGAGGCTAATGCTGCTGGTTTACGCAGTCACCAGAAGGTCTAATCATTTTTGAGAGGTTCTATCCATATGGATATCAGGATGGGACAATATCACCCCCTCCAAATCTGGCTTGCCTCCCTAATTAAAGCTCCTTAAATACATGGAACTCATCTAAATGAGTCAAATCTGGATCTGAGTGAAACCAAACACATTTGCAGGAATCCTGAATGAGTGGAATAGAACTTATACTCTAACGATTTTAGCCAAAGTGTACCGTGTAAATTGCAAAAGTACCCATTTCCATGCAATGGATCATTTGGACACCCGCCTTTTCGGACTCACCAACAAATCATTCTGATGACAAGCTTATATTATAAGCGAAATTTCCTGTGGATCAATTTGAAGTACTCTGACAAAGCTTGGGGTCTTTCTCACCACTCACAGGCTCTTGCAGCCTTAACTTATAGGAAGCATGTCACCATAACTCGCTGTATTTTCATACATGTGTTCGTCAGCAGGTCTCGTGTTCTACTGCAACCGATTTTTTACTGTAGCAAGTCTTCAGATAATCAAATATACCATGTTTAGCCATTCATCGCATCTTTACAATATTGACCGCAATTGCCGATGTGAGGGATATGCATTGAGGACAATGTCACGATGAGTTCTCGTTTATTTTGGTGCTGAATGGGCATGTCTGCTCATGAAATAGCTATTAGCTTATTGCTAGCCACGCTCTCGATAAGAAATGCACAGATATTGAAAAGGGGCTGTGGTAGATGACCGGGGCTAATTGAAGTGCTGTGTTAGACAAACAACTCCTATTTCAGTCCGAGCAATTTCAAACAAATTGTTTTCATTTATTTCAGCGCTGCTGCGAGTAATATAATGCTAATCAGGCGTTTCATGATTATTTAACTGCGGTTTCCTTGTCACTGTGTCAAAAATGGAACACCTGCTTTGAATGAAACGCTATAGCTCGAGCACCTCTACCTTGTTTAACAATGTACAAGTTTTCACGGCAGACGGCCGAGAACATGGCTTCAAACGCTTTTGCAAGCTTAAGCCTCACGCTGGGCGAGTGATTTTCACCTTCGAACAGCGACGGTGTGGGCCCCGAGCCCTACGTAATGTCTTGAATGCAAAGCATATCTTGATATGCATAGTATTCTTTATCTCCTGCTGTCTTGAATACAAGATGACATCCGCCCACGCAGCTCAATCGGTTAGAGCGCCTCCCTCCCAACCTACTAATGCACTGGCGGGTCGGCGAACGCACCCACTCCACCCACTACAGCGGGGTAGGTGGGTTTGGGTCGCTTCGGCACTCGCTGTTCTCCTCCAGCTGAGATGACCCGCGGCCAGTTGTGACGCTGGCTGGCTTGGACAGCCGATATTCAACCCAAATATTTCGGGGGCTGCAATCCAGGGGCGTCTAAATCGATTCCAATCTTTCGATTTCGGTCAACCGAAATGGCAACGGCGGGCCAAGTCAACTCATCACCTGATCCAAAAATATATCGCAGACCTATTTGTGTGCGTTGTTAAGAGCGTACATTTCCATTTGGCTTGGCTTCGATACCATCTACTTTATGAGTGCGCTCACTCCGCTACTTATCATTCGCCACGCACCGCATTGATATTTGCATCCGAGACGCGTCGGTATGTGCTTGCTGCATTTACAATCCCGTATCCCGCTGAAGCAGATTTCGAATTGCCTGCGCGATAAGTTAGTGACGACCTCTCTCGTGCCAGTTCTTCTCGCGAATCAGGCAAATGTGGGTCTTGTCGATCCAGAGCTTCCTTTGTTCAACACCTCTTACTCACCAACATTCGATGCACAGCACAGAGGGTTTTAGGTTCTAAGAAGGGCGGGACTGTGAGCTGCACCGAATGGTCCTCAAGGTAGCTATTTGAACACCCCCATACAAATGCAGAATGCTTCCTTGATAATTTGCTTATCAAAAGCAGTGCACAAAAACTTTGACAGTACATAAAATCATTTCCTTTTGCTTTTCGAGCAGTTGTGCTGCAACATTGCCCATGTTGTTGTTCTGTTTTGACAGCGTGTGTTTAAACACATATACTTTTCTCCTTATTGTGTAACTTTGGTGTGTTACACGTTTGAGTTGTATTGATGTCACACTCTTGTATATCCGGATGAAGACAAAAATTTATGCGGGGAACGTTCATCGCCCGAACCTTCCTCTTCGTTCATTTTCGTACTCTTCTCGTAAATATTATGTATTTTGGTCTTTGGAGCGCTAGAGGGAACTGAGAAAAGAGGAAAACATGCTTTACAAATGCTTCCATGGCGGTTGCGTATTCTTGAAAACATTTGTTAACGGACGATGCGCGTGAATGGGCTGTACCCCGCCTGCACACAGGCACATCCGAGCGCGCCTGGTTATCCCCACGGGCTTACGATTGCTTCTCGAAACAGGTGAAATGGGAGTCTTAAGCAGTTTACAAATTTGCAAGTTTGGATTAAATTTTCCAGATTTAAAATAGGATTCTTCAGGAACCACATCCGAGCATCCACACGCTTATGAAGAGAGGTGGGGAAGGGGCGAGCGATCACCGGCCGATTCCCGCCAATGTTGCAAGCGGTTCATCCCATGTTGCGCGAAATTCACGAAAAACTGGCTTACAGATAAACTATATTTTCTATATGTCATATGAAAAATATATGTCATACGTCCCTAGTAGTCAGCATCTCACACCCGGTTTCCGTCAGGCAGGGGTCGGATTGGCCAGGAAATTATATGAATTATGTTGAATGCATCCCGAAATAAGGCAAACACAGATCATCCATTGAACGCAACAGGTCTTCGTGCGCGTTTGAAGGAGTCGGCTCCCTCGCTCAGCGAAGCAA